TATTTATCAACTTGGAATGCAAGAACCTCAATTGTGTGTTGGCAACCGTTAGCCAAGACAGGTGAGAGTGGCACTGAGCCCTACTAGCTGTGTAATGGCAATTCTACAAAAAAAAAGCCATGTACTTACCCTAGGTTCATTTTCTGGCCTTTTTTCCCTCATTTACATAAACTGCAACCCATCCGCTGGAACAGCAGTGGCACCGCTTGCGGCAGTGCAGAACCGTGTAGTAATTACTGTATTCCAGCTGAGCTAATGAGTTTGTATCTCCACACCAGCCCCTCTTGACAGTGGACTAGCTTAATAGTTATTTATTTTGACTAATCTCCCATAAAGGCTGCTCCCCCATGTCTCCTCCATTATGTGATTTAGATGGCGAATCATTCTAGTGCTTGGTTTTTATTACAGTGGTTATGGAACATTACTGGAATCAAATTAAATTTAGACGTATTAAGAAGTCTGGCACGGCAAATACCGCACTTGTGAAGTTCGGGGGTTGAGGGATTGGAACAAAACCCGTTTCTCCAGCACCTTCCCATGTTCCCAGCTAAATAAAGCAGAGAGGTGAACCCCGGGCTGCCAATCTGCCGATCTGCCGCGCTGTTTGGTTCCCTCTGTTAGGATCTACTGGGCAGCGATGAATAATTAAAGTTCTCCTGCCCACAGTTGTTACCATCTGAATAAATATTCCCACCAACCAAAGCGATTCAGCATCCCTGTGCTTTGCTCGGTATAGAAATCTGCTTGCGGCTGCCCGTGCACCAAGTCCATCCCGAAAAACACTGCTTGACCTTTCGCCTAATTCCCCTTCCAGCACTGGGGTGAGCTGCCAGGCTGCTGCCTGCACACCCTCCCCTCATTAACCAAAAACTCGCTGCTGCAAATAAGGCCAGAGCAGGTCAGGGGAATCGCTGGGGAGCAGCACCTGCTCGGTTCAGATCTGAATTTGACCCAGGATCTGACAGCACAGCGTTAGTAATTCAGTCATGCTTCTTACTGAGGCTTATTTATAGTTTATAAAGGGTTAATGAATGATTAATAGATAATTTAATGCATTTTAATTAATTGCTGGAGAGGTCAATAGGTTGTTTAGAAACATGGCTTGTAGCCATGTATGACATCTTCTATTGTGTTCATAACCGCCTGTCATGCACACAGTCTAAACATGCTTTATATCCTCTATTAATAATGTATTAACTCATTGTAAGGCATTTAGAAACAGTGTCTCAGGACGGGCTGAGAGCAGCAATCCTTATTCTGATAGCGCAGGTTTTACCCACGTGAACGGTGCATTGGTTTCAGGAACACCGATCCTGTAACGTGTGATCCTGCCGCTGCCCCAGTGCGAGCAGGACCGATGTTTGTGAGATGATGGCTGAAAGAGGCTTTGCCCATGAAATTATAAAATCTGGGCAGATTTTAAAAGCTGAAGCAGCTGGATCGATTCCAGGAAAAACAGTTGAAAGTGACTGAATTAGAAGTTCCTTCCTGCAGACCATCCCATTCTTTATATGTTGAATATATCGATTGGTGAGTGAATGGGTGGATCGTGAAACTATGATCCTGAAGAGCTACACGGCAGAGCAAGAGGACAGAGGTGCTGCCTAGGAGAGTGAATCTCTTACCTTGCTCCTTGCAGGTGCCCTGAAAGCAGTAATCTGCCACAGCTGTAAATTCAGGCCTCAACCTGGCTCCCAGCCCTCGCGGTGTCTGGTGGGATGCACTCAGCATTGCGATGCTGGGCAGGATGCTAACAGCCAGGCCAGGTCCCCTCTCGTGTGTATTTCCTGCCCACAGGCACGGATGATGGATGTATGCGACCCCACATGGGTGTTGGCTGTCTGAGGATGGCAGAGTTCGGGGGCAGCTCCTGCTCACAAATGGGATTGAAGGCCACAGACTTGATGAACTTATTCCTTTTCCTGCTGCAAATGAGGGGCCGGGACATCTGGTGGTAATGAGCTAAATGCACTTTTATCTCATTGCAACACAAACGTGAATTCCCAAGTCACCCAACTCTGCACCGTGTAATTATGAAAGCAGCTATTAGTGGCGAGGAGGATGAGTAGCAGAGGCCAGTCCCATGTGTTGGAAACCACTCTCTGGTACAGCTAATGGTGTGCAAAACCGGGTACAAACCAGCAGCGGAGCCTGAACTGGGGTGGCTGTGGTGGGTGACAAGGACTGGGGGAGCCATGAAAAGAAACACCTGAGCAAGTGTTCTGGGGACTGGCAAGCGCCTTGTGGTGTTTGAGTGCTTTTTTCCATGGCAAAAGCAGACCGTTAACAGTTTAACCACTACAGGTTTGGTGTCTGGATTTTAATGAACTGCTCCATGGCAAAAGAAAATAGAGCACATTGGGAGACTGCAAACTGGAAAGGAAAAGGTGACAACCTGAGCACCGACACGGTCAGGAGCTCAGGAGAGGTGCCCATGTGAGGATGGCAATGGGCTGCTGTAAGAAATAATGAAATACTGACTGTATTTCGGTGAGCTTGCCATAGATCTAATGTCTTTTTAAATTTAAACTAAAATTCAGCATGAATTTTTTCAAGTTCTGGCCACTGAGCAGAGTAGAGTGAATTTCTTTGTAACGGCTTATGAACAGAATAGCTGCATGGTTCGTAGTCCTGGATAAACCACAGCTTTTCCACCTGTTAAACATGTTATTTAATTCTACATCTGCTTCCCTTTAGGTCTCCCAACTGCAAACCTGATAGTTGTGTCTGAATGTTCGATTCCAAATAGCAGAGAGAACGCAAGGTCGAAAAAGACCAGAAGTGGAAATAAATACTGTATTTACATAGGAAGTTGTTCCTCCCCCAGCCTCCGAATCACAAATGGAATGCAGTTTAAAAAAAAGAAAAGAAAAGAAAAGGGGGGGAAGAAAAAGCAGATCAAATATTTATGTTGCCTGCAGTCATACTGGGGATCTTTCCAAGAACTGTTCATCCTGATTTATGGTGAATCCTGATTTAAATGGCATGAGAAAACTTAAAACGTGAAATGAAGTCTGGCCATATTTGGGGAGTGAATCACATTTGAAAAGAAACCCTTTAAAGAGCAAACATAGTCGTGTATATGGAGGGCAGGCAATCCCTTTCTGAAAATCAATATTGGTGTTGGTTTTTCTGCACGTTCAATGACATTTCATACGAAAAATTGTGGGGAAATGTTTTGTTTACAGACCAGGATATAAATGAGAATGTAAAGATTGTGTAATGTAAAGATTAGACTAATTTGGCTTCCAAACTGCTGTGCATTAGGGTTAGGTTTGTACTACCTGAATGACTCTCGTATAAGGTGGCTTAACTCTGCAGAAAAACGTAATGTAAGGAAAGCTGCTTACAACCTCTCACAGTTAAAGAAGAATGTAAAGAAAAATGCTGCCTCATTTTGTAGAAAAAAAATGAAAGCATTTGGAAGGGAGTGAAATCCTTTCATTAGGTGAGGTGATGTGTGGTTGTAATGCGGTGTGTGACAGGGAGGTCTGGGGGGCAGTCTGTGTCATACAGACCACCACTGTTTTGTAGATGTCACAGGATGCTCCTGTGAGCTGAGGCTGCTAAGATATTGCCTTAGAAAGAAAATGCAGTAAGTAAGGTGAACCAATGAGGCAGCATTGGAATTATTTGCAGCTTTTAGGTTTAAAACCGTTTCTTGGGATTAAAGCCCAGATCCAGCATCACAACCTGGAATCAGAGGTACTATTCCCTTTGAAAATCAGTACCTTTTATATTGTCCTAACAAGGGAAAAAAAGAAAAGAAGAGAAAAAGCTGAGGTGTTTTAATTCCTTTCTCTTTCAAAAAGAAAGGGGAGATGTAGGTTTCTTTCTGAAGTGTGGCTGTATTTTGTTCCTCACGTGAACCTTCTAACCCAAAGGGTGCTGCTTCCTTTCACATTAAACAAGATAAGGCGAGAGAAATGATTGCTTCCCTCAGTCCAACACCGTACTCTTTATCTCCCAGGCGTTAGAAGTTAACTAACGCTCCACGTGCCGGAAAGCTGAATTTGGAGTGGAACAAAATCAGCTACAACCTCGCACAGAAAAGGGAAATAAGGGACACCAAAGGTTCTGAGTCACTGGGGTCAGGGAAAAACACAGCGAGGCTGTGAGGGAGGGTTGCTGAATCCGCCTTTGATGTTATAATTATGAGGTTTTTTTTTTCCTGAAGAGTTGCAATCACTGGAACTCTCAGTTCCAGCGTTTGATTTTTTTTTCTTCCTCCGATTGTCTCATTTTTGCCACCATCCACGCCAAAGAAAATCCAGACGTGAAAAATTATTGCATAAAGGAGATGATCTAATAACAAATTCAGGGGCTGGAGCCTCCCACGTCCCAGCTCGGGTCTGTTTGTGTTGCCGTATTTGCCTCTTGGGAAGAACCTGTTCACTCTTGCAGGGTCACACAGAAATGAGCTCTTCGCTGGTACCAGCACGTGGGTGTTGTCTGCAGTTTCTCAGTTGTGGAAAAACACAGCTTTTCTGTGTTGGTTTGGTTTTGTTGGGTGTTTGGTTTGGTGGTTGTTGTTGGTTTTACTGGGGATTATTTTTGTGTTTGGTTGGGTTTTTTTTCCTCTCTAAAAAGCACTTTTTAGAAGGGATAGCTGAATGGGAAACTCAGTCTGGACCATGTAAAGCCTTTTAGGACTCCATAAAACAGTGCTGAGCGTTCAGTGTTTCTTGCTATGAGGATTCTCATCCCGGCACCTGTGGAGTCTCTGTGCTTTGGAAGTCTCTGAGGTCTGGCTTTTGCTACAGCTCTCCAGAAATTCATCAGAAGAAAGCTGACAGCAAAGCACATGCACATGCCCAGCTCGAAGTGAAGAAAGTTTACACTAAGGTTACTCGCTGTGAGAAAGCAGCTTTAAGATGAAAAGAAAATGTGAGCAGAAATGAAAGATGTGTTTTATTTTTAAGAGAGACCTTGGCTTTGAGTAACAATTGCTGGAGAGACCAGGACTTTTGTTAGCAGAGAAAGATTGTGCATTCTTATAGGAGGTTCAATATAGCACTGCTGGTTGGCAGCCGTGGCGCTCTGCTGCATGGGGATGCTTCCATTATTTTTTGTCAGTCTCAGTAAAAAGCTTCTTGTCTTGAGACTGGCTGTGATTTAACGGCATTCTTCTGCCCTGGCTGTTCATGACAAATTCCTCAGCACTTCAGAACAGCTAAAGTATTTTTAAAGCCCTGGGGGTTTCTCTCTGTCTCTATTTCTCCCCAGACTGCAGGATGTGCAGACTTTGCACCCCCAAAAAGCCATAGTGTTGAGGTGCTCCCAGGAGCCTGAGAACTGTGTTTGAGTTGGGGCACCTTACAGAAGGGTCATAATAATAACTGCACAAAGCAATTTGGTCCTGTTTGACTTGATGCCTGCTGTTGTTGCCTCTGTATTTCAGCTCGTCATGAAGTTATCACCAAGGAGATCCTCGAGCTGGACCCGTGGGAGAACCACTGGAACGTGGTAGCCATCAACGCCCTCATGCACGACAGCTACGACGTCTGCCTGGTGGCCAGGCTGAACCCGCGGGATCTCATCCCTCCTCCCCCAGATTTAGTGGACCAGTAGAAGCTCGGGGTCTCTTGGTGGTTCCAAGTTCTGCCGAAACGGAGGAATTTGGAGACGCAAATGCTGCATTGGCTCTAGATGACAGCCCAGTCCCATGGAGAGGAGCCGGCAATGTGTGCTCGAGGACAGCATTGCCTTTGAGCTGTGCTTCTCAGATGATGCTTAATTCACTCATACTGGTACTATGGACTTCTGTGATTGAAAGTCGAGGTTGCACAGCCCTCGTGTGTGGCTCTTGGCCTTCCATCAGGGTGTGCATGCCCCAGTGCTGGGTGGAGCCGGGGCTTCTGGGACTCTTTTCCTCACAGGCACAGGGACAGCCCAGGGCTCATTTCACAGCAGAGCAGGACATGAAGGAAAGCTCTAGCCAGGGAAATCTTTCCTTTGCTGTTCATCTCACCTGGTTCTGCTAAGCTACAGAGGAGGCTAAGAAACACATGAAGTCAGCTGGTGAAAGCCAGTCCAGCTGTACCCGAGGGCCAGACCGTACCTGACTGATGCAGGAGCAGAGGGGAAACAGGGAAGAGCCTTTGTTTGTTTTTAACAAAAAAACATTAGCCAAGTACACCAGCTACTGCAACCTTTATCTAACTCGCAGACAGGATGGTCCAAAAACCCTGTCTTTGCCAACCAAACCGAGTCTGTGCCAGTAGAAAATGACTTTTTTGGCAGCAAGTCACAAACGAGTCTCCCAGCAGGGTTAGTAGGCAGTCGGTACCACAGACAAGGAGAATCCTAAATTTTCCTAAAGATCCAGCTGTTGCAGGTCTGGTGCGACCAGAACCTTAAAGCTCAGTTAGGAAACCCTCTTCCTTTGAGAGATCGAGAAGGGGATGTAAAGGAAAAAGTAATAAATGAGACCGGTGTTCTCTGCACACCAGCTCTGCAGCTACAGGGAAAGGACATATGTGTTAAACAAGAAATGTTTATATGACAGCAGCTGTTTCTATACAAGTAGCCTTTATGAAGTAGCACAAGGTGAATTCTCTACTAACAGAATTGGCTATAACCACTGGAGGAATAATTCAATAAATCTCCATTTTCTTCTTCAATTGCATTTTAGGCTGCAAAAATGCCAGCTGGGGTTTTTTTTTGAGGTTTTTTTTTGCCTGCAAGCTTATGGCAGAGAGAGATGGAGTGGGTGGCCCAAAAGCTCTTTCTGAATTCTGACTTTTCTGATTCATGAACTATTCTCTGAAATACCAGAATATTAAGCTGTCATACAAAAATGATTAGCAGGAAGGTCACTGAAGTTTACCTGATAACGGCAGTGGGACACCGAGGGCTGCTCAGACAACAAGGGAGGGGAATCTGGTGGAGGGGAAACTAAGGAAAACACATAGAAAAGGAGCAAATCTGTGAGCCTCCCTTTATGTTTCCCAAGCAGAATACGTGTCACAGCCTAAACACATACTCCTGTGTTTGTATCATTTCGATATCATCGACTTTCTCTTTCCAATGTTCATGTGTTGGTCATCATCTGCCTAGGACAGAGTTCTGAACCATGAGCTTCAGTGGTACAAATGTATTTAATGTATTTTTAAACAGAATCAGTAGAAAGTTCTGCCAGTTAACCATCCAATACTGGAAACTCTTTTTATAACTTCTGTTGTCACTGCAAAGTAAAGATAATCTTGTTCTAATTTCTCCACAGAGCTCTCGAGGCAGCTGGAAGCAGCGCTCTTGAGCACCAGTGAAGTGTTTCCTTATGAAAGTCCAAATTCTGCAACTCCGTCTACTGATTTTGCTGCTTTCACCTTTTTCATTTTAAGGAAGAAAGGTTTAAAGTTGGGGTTTTTTTGTTTATGGTCTTTGCTCTGTGGTCTATTCCTGACAATTCAAATTGCTCCATAAAGCCTGAGCCAATCGACTGGATTTCCCTCTCTCAAAGGCAGTCCACTTGGAATATTTCATGGGGGGAAGAACCCCATGAACCTCATTTCATTGAGGTTCCACTTAAATCTGAGAAGAAACTTCTTCTCAGTGAGGGTGACAGAGCCCTGGCCCAGGCTGCCCAGAGAGGTTGTGGAGTCTCCTTCTCTGCAGACATTCAAAACCCGCCTGGACGCCTTCCTGTGTAACCTCATCTGGGTGTTCCTGCTCCGGCAGGGGGATTGGACTGGATGAGCTTTGGAGGTCCCTTCCAATCCCTAATGGTCTGGGATTCTGTGATTCTGTGTGATTCTGTGAAGTGAGAATTTTGCAGGCTTTCATTGGTCGTATTTAAACATGTATGTGGAACACAGCTAAGACTCCTCTATTATACTTTTAACCCAGTAGTGAGCTGGCCATGTCTCTCAGTTTCCACCCAGGTCCATATATCTAGCGCTATATATCAATCTGGGAATTGCTTTTTTCTGGATTAAATATCTAGAATGGGGGCAATAACTTCTTAATTTTGTTTGGGGTCATGGTTCATCCTTGGGGTGACTACGATTTGTAAACCAAAAGTTGAAAATGAAAGCTTGACTGAGTCAGAAAGGAGGAGAAAGCACGCCTATTAAAAGGTGAGAGTGTATGAATACCGCACGTCTGATGTGTCCACAGGTGGTCTCACATTGCTGCGAAAGTCCTTCAGAATCTTAATTTTGTCTATTACAAATCCTGATGCAAAAGAAAGAGAATATTACAGAATATGCATTTGCCGAGCTTGTGAGTTCCAGTGAAATAACAGTTTTTTCCAGTCCCTTTGGCTAGCTGAGCGTTTCACCAAGGCTGGCTTGACATCATCCATAACTAAAACGCAAACAAAGCCGCGCTGGCAAGCTTCCGACTATTAAATGAATGGGGGATTATTAAGCAAAGGCGCACACTTCAGTTTCACTTGAAACACTGAAGTACATCACCAGTTGCCAGATATGAAGAAAAACGCTGGAGAGGCAGCTGCTCGCGTGGCACACAGGGAGTAAGGCAAAAAATGAAATGCTAGGAAAAGCTATTTGAAGCCCTCCATATAATGTTTTATTTTGAAGTCTTCCATGTATAAGGAATTTCAAGCGATCCCTGTAGCTCTCTTGTATTTGTTTTCATATGTGTGATCGTAGGACAGCCCACGTATGTAAACCATCGGGCATCTGACTGCCCACCCCCACGTACCACAGCTGTGGCTCCGTCCCTGCCTGTGCCAGGCGCACACACATCCACTCTGCATGTGTGCAACATTGAAATGTATGGGGCAGTCTCTGTGTTGTGTTCCAGCTGGATTGTGCCTCTCGGGAAGCCTTGGTTTGCCAACAGAAAATTGCCTTGGTGCAACACAAAGCTTTCGGCTCCTCTACCAGCGCTCCCAAACACGCTCCAGAGAAGAGGCTGAGGGAGCATCAAAACCGAGAGAGTGGCAGCAGAGAGGAGAGCAACTCCCAAAACGTGCCAACGTGCAGCAGAGACAAGGTGGGGGGGAATAATCCCCATCTCTTCTTAGGGAGGGTTTGGAATTAAAAGGATTTGGCCCCGGTTCCTCATCTTCTGTTTTTTCCTCTGCTTGAAATCTGTAATGAGATCCTTGGTCACATAAAAAGCAAGGAAAACAAATGCTAGAACAACAGATTTTTTAATGTTAAAATATATTCATTAAGATCCATATTGTTTGTCTGCTGTTCTGGAAGACAATTACACTCGTTCAATAAGCTGTTCATCTCGTGATTTCTATCTCAGCTACGGTGGTGGTCTCTTTCACAAGCTGCTCTCCTAATGGATTATGTGGCTCCTGAAGATTTGTTTCATGAATCACATCATTGCTTTGAATCACCAGGCCAGAATTTCAGTTACTCTTTTGCAAATGTCTATGGCTCTCCCTACAGCTTTTCAAGTGGACTCCAGCTCCAGCTTCAAAGAAAAGCTGTTTCACCCCCAGTCGTGCCCAGCTGGAACCAGTACATTTGCAATTTACTATCATTTGACATGTAGAGGTTGAAAGCAAAGGAATTACTGGAAAATGGCTAAAATATACAAGGAAGTACGCTCTCCTTCTGTTCTTGGCGACTGTCTCCTCTGTGTTTCCTGCCCTGAGGGAGTGATTTACCCACGACTGCAGCCACACTGGGCTGCGTGGTTGTGCTGCCAGGGCAGAGCGCACCAGCATGAGGCCTGCTTCACCCTAGGAGATCACCTTCAAATGAAAAGGCATTTAAATGTTCCAGCATGTATTCTCCTATGTGTTTTATATACATATGTATAACATTATTTTTAGAAGTTCTTTACTGACAGCGGTAAGATTTTCTTTTTTAAACATGTACCTGCCAACTCTGTCTTCTGCACAGCTCATCAAAGGACTTCAAAAAAAAGTGCTGGTCTTTAAATACATGGAGCTCTTCCAGCCTTCAAGTCAAAGGAAACCTTGAATTCCTTGCTGAGCTAAGGAACAACTGGGGAAATCTTTCAGTCCTCGCTTATGTCTCCTTGCTTCTCCAGTTGTCTGCTGGCTCTGAAAGAGGGCCTTCTTCCCCTCCGAAGCTCAGAGTTCTTTGAAAGCTTGCATATGCGTTCTGTTTCTCTTCCCCTAACCCCATTTCCGCCCCAGCCCCCATGTCTGACCAGCCCTTAAAGCCCTCCTTTTCCTCCTCAGTTCCTCAGAAGATGGGAACAGACACTGAGGGTGTCCACCAGGCTCCAGACTTCTCCTAAGTCCATCGCCCCAGCACCACATCAGCTTTGAAGGCCAGAAGAGAAGAGCACACCAGCTCCTTGGATTTGAGGACACTAATCTTTTGGCAGGTTCAGAACCCAAATTCTGTTCCTCAGGCTCATTGCAAATAAAACATGCCCGCTCTGCAGTGTTGCTATTCCTCTGGCTATGACCAGCCTTGGGACGCGGGTGACCTCCTTCTGCTTAGTCCTGCCGCTGTCTCACCGCGTGATGCTGGTAAGTTTGACATTAAATGTGTTGCACACTGTGCGTGCCCTAGCTGTAATGATTGCAGGCACAAGTCATTATCATTATCTCCAGTTCCTCAGCACTGGTTGCTACAAAAGCTGTCTGAAGCACAGAGGGAGGCGTCTTC